GATCAGACAATCCAGTGATTGACATCGTGAGCCTCGATCCATGCAATTGGGATACGATGACATGCATCAACCAAGTCAGTGAGCCTGACCACCCGATCCCCCTAGTCGCCTCTTACGACAAGCATAGTCGCCTTTCACAGCAAGCATGGGTTGCTGAAGATCAGCAAGAAGGGGAATATGGGGATGGCGTCTCCTTGTCTTACCTACACATTATACATATATATTATCAATGAGGAAATCCAGCATTTCACATACTGCATTCACGGTATACATCAGATTATATTTGCTTTCATTTTTGACACATTGTCCTGAACATCTCGTTAATTTGGACATTACAAATGTCTTTGACGACCAGAAGTGTACAAAGATAACTTGATGCAATGCTTGATGGATGTGTGTGGTTGGATGAGTGGTTTCACGATAAGTTTTGTTTCTGCGTCAGTCTGGATGCTCAGATATTGCCCAGTTGGCTAAAGCGAACCAAATGGATATCCAGAGGGAGTGGTATAAAAGCGACAAGACCCTTATCTAAACCATCAGCATCTGTTTATGAATCTCCATCAAATAGTGATGACACCAGGTGTCCGCGAAGAGGAGAGCGTATCCTGCCCCACCGGTGGCACGTGTCCCAAGCACCTGCTAAGGTTTGCAGTCATCACTTGACGCAAACTCTAGCCGATGGATGACAGGATGTAACTGTCTTGCAGTGTTTATACAGTTTCTGTTCAATTTGATATTTAACAATGTAATTTATGCAAATGTTGGTGTATATAATTGAAAAATTACCTAGCTTTGTTATGCATGGTTAAAATAACTCGCGCGATCAAACGTTTCTATGAAACACACCCTGCCTCAAACACATGTTACTTGTGGCCGTGTCATGCATGACATTCAGCACTGTTCATGCAGACTTAATGTAGAGCTGGCAGATTAATAACGACATTTAACCACGTTTAAAGAATAGAGAAGTATCAATAACGGTTGGTTGTACAAAACCGTCTGGCAAAAGAATGCATGTACTGGAACATTGGATTTGATTAAAAAATCCCAACGTTTTAAAAACGTTACAAGACTGAAAACAGTCGCTAAAACACAACACAAACACAACTATAAGATACTGGTATCAAATACATCACCATGATAAAAAAACATTTCTTGTTTGTTTCATTGTTTGTTTCACACCTCCTTACTCAGTGGCACTTTCATTGATGAATCGGGTGGTCATGCTTGGTTGACAACGTCGTGTCGTCGCCAACGACGTCGATCATTGCTCATGACATTGATCATTGGATTGTGTTTCAGCAGATAACCAGGAGTTCAGCAAATACGTTTGTGGTAGCACTGGTCCTGTGCACAGGTCACATTTCATTTGAAGTTAATAAAAGCGACAAAACCCTTTCCATATTCACGAGTCTATTGTACGATTCCGACTATATCATGAGCAGGTGTTTGGAAAAAAGGTGAGCGTATCCTGCTACACAGGTGGCACCCATCACAAACACATGCAGAGGCAAGTCAAGTGTTCACCTTAAAAATAGGGGAACATATAGTACAAGTCAAAGTAGGGAATTGCATCAGACATCAATTTTGTTACTGATTGCATCAGCCATCATTTTTGTCACTGATACGTCAAATCTGGAAATGTCAGCCACATAACCACATATATTTTGGAAAGCTCTTCTAGGGCCTTGAATGATGTAACCTTGATCGAACATCTTATGACACGTCTCATAAGGCAAGTAATCAACAAGAAGAGTGAATGAGTACTGTTATGCACCACTTTTAGCAATATTCTAGCAATATCATGGCGGGGGACACCGGAAAATGGTGCCCATGTGGGGAATCAAACCCGGGCCTTTCACGTTACGAGCCAGCGCTTTAAGAAGAAGGAAGAAGAAGTAACAAGAAGAAGAAGAAGAAGTAACAAGAAGAAGAAGAAGTAACAAGAAGAAGAAGAAGAAGAAGTAACAAGAAGAAGAAGTAGAAGATGAAGAAGAAGTAGAAGATGAAGAAGAAGAAGTAACAAGAAGAAGAAGTAGGGATGAAGAAGAAGAAGTAGGGATGAAGAAGAAGTACCAAGAAGAAGAAGAAGAAGTAACAAGAAGAAGAAGTAGAAGAAGAAGAAGTAACAAGAAGAAGAAGAAGTAACAAGAAGAAGAAGTAGGGATGAAGAAGAAGAAGTAACAAGAAGAAGAAGAAGTAACAAGAAGAAGAAGTAACAAGAAGAAGAAGAAGTAACAAGAAGAAGAAGTAGGGATGAAGAAGAAGTAACAAGAAGAAGAAGTAGAAGATGAAAAAGAAGTACCAAGAAGAAGAAGAAGAAGTAACAAGAAGAAGAAGTAGGGATGAAGAAGAAGAAGTAACAAGAAGAAGTAGTAGAAGATGAAGAAGAAGTAGAAGAAGAGGTAACAAGAAGAAGAAGTAGGGATGAAGAAGAAGTACCAAGAAGAAGAAGTAGGGATGAAGAAGAAGTAACAAGAAGAAGAAGTAGGGATGAAGAAGAAGTACCAAGAAGAAGAAGTAGGGATGAAGAAGAAGTACCAATAAGAAGAAGTAGGGATGAAGAAGAAGAAGTAACAAGAAGAAGAAGTAGGGATGAAGAAGAAGTACCAAGAAGAAGAAGTAGGGATGAAGAAGAAGTACCAAGAAGAAGAAGAAGAAGTAACAAGAAGAAGAAGTAGAAGATGAAGAAGAAGAAGTAACAAGAAGAAGAAGTAGCGATGAAGAAGAAGAAGTAGGGATGAAGAAGAAGTACCAAGAAGAAGTAGGGATGAAGAAGAAGTAGGGATGAAGAAGAAGTAGGGATGAAGAAGAAGTACCAAGAAGAAGAAGTAGGGATGAAGAAGAAGAAGTAGAGGGATGAAGAAGAAGTAACAAGAAGAAGAAGTAGGGATGAAGAAGAAGAAGTAGGGATGAAGAAGAAGTACCAAGAAGAAGAAGTAGGGATGAAGAAGAAGAAGTAGGGATGAAGAAGAAGTACCAAGAAGAAGAAGTAGGGATGAAGAAGAAGTAGGGATGAAGAAGAAGTAGGGATGAAGAAGAAGTACCAAGAAGAAGAAGTAGGGATGAAGAAGAAGTACCAAGAAGAAGAAGTAGGGATGAAGAAGAAGTACCAAGAAGAAGAAGTAGGGATGAAGAAGAAGTAACAAGAAGAAGAAGAAGTAGGGATGAAGAAGAAGTAGGGATGAAGAAGAAGTACCAAGAAGAAGAAGTAGGGATGAAGAAGAAGTACCAAGAAGAAGAAGTACCAAGAAGAAGAAGTAGGGATGAAGAAGAAGTAGGGATGAAGAAGAAGTAGGGATGAAGAAGAAGTACCAAGAAGAAGAAGTAGGGATGAAGAAGAAGTACCAAGAAGAAGAAGTAGGGATGAAGAAGAAGTAGGGATGAAGAAGAAGTAGGGATGAAGAAGAAGTACCAAGAAGAAGAAGTAGGGATGAAGAAGAAGTAACAAGAAGAAAAAGTAGGGATGAAGAAGAAGTACCAAGAAGAAGAAGTAGGGATGAAGAAGTACCAAGAAGAAGAAGTAGGGATGAAGAAGAAGTAACAAGAAGAAGAAGTAGGGATGAAGAAGAAGTAGGGATGAAGAAGAAGTAGGGATGAAGAAGAAGTAGGGATGAAGAAGAAGTACCAAGAAGAAGAAGTAGGGATGAAGAAGAAGTACCAAGAAGAAGAAGTAGGGATGAAGAAGAAGTACCAAGAAGAAGAAGTAGGGATGAAGAAGAAGTAGGGATGAAGAAGAAGTACCAAGAAGAAGAAGTAGGGATGAAGAAGAAGTACCAAGAAGAAGAAGTAGGGATGAAGAAGAAGTACCAAGAAGAAGAAGTAGGGATGAAGAAGAAGTAGGGATGAAGAAGAAGTAGGGATGAAGAAGAAGTACCAAGAAGAAGAAGTAGGGATGAAGAAGAAGTACCAAGAAGAAGAAGTAGGGATGAAGAAGAAGTAGGGATGAAGAAGAAGTAGGGATGAAGAAGAAGTAGGGATGAAGAAGAAGTAGGGATGAAGAAGAAGTACCAAGAAGAAGAAGTAGGGATGAAGAAGAAGTACCAAGAAGAAGAAGTAGGGATAAAGAAGAAGTACCAAGAAGAAGAAGTAGGGATGAAGAAGAAGTAACAAGAAGAAGAAGTACCAAGAAGAAGAAGTAGGGATGAAGAAGAAGTACCAAGAAGAAGAAGTAGGGATGAAGAAGAAGTAGGGATGAAGAAGAAGTAGGGATGAAGAAGAAGTACCAAGAAGAAGAAGTAGGGATGAAGAAGAAGTACCAAGAAGAAGAAGTAGGGATGAAGAAGAAGTACCAAGAAGAAGAAGTAGGGATGAAGAAGAAGTACCAAGAAGAAGAAGTAGGGATGAAGAAGAAGAAGTAACAAGAAGAAGAAGAAGAAGATGAAGAAGAAGAAGAAGTAACAAGAAGAAGAAGGGGAGGAGGAGGAGGAGGAGAAGAAGAAGGGGGAGAAGAAGAAGAAGAAGAAGAAGAAGAAAGGAGCCAGAAATTGCTAGTTCAGAAAATGATCCTTTAAGAGGCTTACCTTGAATACTTACCATCGTAACCTCTCAATGCTGGGTGAACAGATTTCATTTTCGGACAACGTCACGTGTGTTTCAGCATGACCGAATCCCTGGAGATTCTCAACAGTCAAGCTGTGGAACGCGGGCTCCAACTATGCTCCTCGAACGACGTTGATCAACTTCACCTGAAAAGTGACCCGCGCACACGACCACGTGTCATCACCAAGGAATTTGCATGTATATCTAGTACAGACATTGTATAAACCTATTCCAGTCTCGTACACAGTGTTATTAAGATCATGGCAGAGATACACACGCACATTAACACTGAATAATGCGTTCTATTTCAATCTTCTTTCCAAACAATGATTTCAAAAAAGATCCTCGAAATCCTATTTTACACAATTATCATAATTTATAATTGCCTGCGACACCTGTGAGACTTAATTTGCCATTGGTCGATTTGTTTTCAAATATATTGTTTTACATCGCGACAGTGACTGATTCCTACGGTACTGTGACTGGGATGAGGAGCCAGGAGATGGCAGCCAGGAAACAGGAGCCAGGAGACATAAGACGAGACAGGAAGATGAGTGATGAAACCTCTCCGTTAATCAGGAGACGTCATCCGCCGAACGACAAAAGGTTGGAATTATCAAATAACAATCCGATGTTGATTGTTTCATGAACTCAATAACTCCACTATTTCGATAAATCTGCAGGCCATCATTTTTTCCAATTATTTGTTCACAGATTTTCTTCGAGGTAAAGGTAAGCAAAAAAAGAGAAAAAAGTAAAATTTGCAAAAAGATATTCATCATGATCATTAATATTTAATCGGTTTGTGGAAAACATGGGTAGAAAGAACATATTATCAGGGGCGGTCGGGTAGCCTTGTGGTTAAAGCGTTCGCTCGTCACGCCGAAGACCCGGGTTCGATTCCCGACATGGGTATGATGCGTGAAGCCCATTTCTGGTGTCCCCCGCCGTGATATTGCTGGAATATTGCTAAAAGCGGCGTAAAACCATATTCACTCACTCACTCACATATTATCATTTATGTGTGTGTGGTAATATGTGTCTCGAGTGTACGTCCCATGGTTCCCAGCTGATTCGTTTGTAAAGTTTGAAAGCGTGCCTTTCAGGCCCAGTGGAAAGTGTTTCGGCGTTCACGTTTTATACTTACCTTGATTGCAGGGCCCAGCGCTGTTACCTCCTCATATTAGTTTCAGGACAACATTATGGCTTATTAGCTGTGGCCTGTTCTGGTCGGCATCTTTGTATTCTGTTTTACTTGGGTACAACTGTAACATTCTGTTAAATCACATCATACTGACATGCAAAACATATATACATGTCTCAAGTATTGATAAAAACAAATTGTCACTTGAAGACTTTCTGAAGACTTTATTCGATATATTTCGGATAGAGAAATCAATTGCACACAAAAACAATACAATAAGACAGTTTGACAGAAAATGCAAAACTTTGGCACATGAATTGTCTAGTTAATATGTCCCTATTTTGAACATGAACAATTTCCACTAATGTGCTATAATGATTCAGCATCACACTTGGTTAATAAGTATGGCAAATATAGCCTGCTCGTTTCAGCATTTGTGAACATTGTTGTACACCTGTAGCCAACTTTAATTTGTTGTCTGCTGTATAGGTATGTAACCTACACCTGTATAACATGTAACATCATATACTGAATTCAATAAAAAAATATTTTGAAAAATAAATCTTGAAAGGAAACTGTAAAAACACTGCAAGACAGTTGGAGCCATGTGCTTGGGACCCGTGCCATCGGTGGGGCAGATACGAACGCCTGGTGTCATCGCTATTTGATAGTCGGAATCGTACAATTGGCTTAATGTACAGTTGAAATTGTACAACAGGCTACAGATTTTCTTATGATGGGCTTTGTCGTTTATTTACAGCTCGGCTATTGGAACCCATAGAAGCAACGGCAGAAGTAGACAAAGGTACTATGCAGTGCACTGCAATGAAGATTGTTGGAAAATGACCTGTTCCTCGATATGTGCAGCTATGTGCAGCTATGTGCTCACAACTCTTATCTGATCTTGTTGGTTTGAATTTGTTGTGGTGACATTCATATGTATGCTGGATCGGTGTACTAGCCATTGAAGTGTTAAATGCGATCTGCTAAGTGTCAACGTCGGAGTCGGTATGCACACTTTGCGTTCACTCCTGATTTACAGTGTGCACCATGTTAATTTACACACGCATATTGAAGACTAATTCTTAAATAACCATGAAATTGTCACTTTATCTGATCCATACCAAATGCACGTCACAGAAGCCACTTGGTTGTGTGTACCCTGTATATTCGTTTACCAAGCTACTGGTGTTCCAGTGACAGTTCCGACTCCTGGACAACGTGTTCCATGGAACACTGGAGGGAACAGTTCCGGTGTTCCAGCTTTGGACTCCAGCATTCTCGTCCATATCTTTTTACCAAATTTGAAGTAAGTGTTACTTTGCTGTTACACTGTTGTCACATTGTTGTTGCATTGTTCTTAAATTGTTGTCACATTATTGTCCCCATTATTGTGACATTGTTGTTAAATTGTTGTTTCATTAATTGTTACTTAGAAGTTGACAGATGGAATAGCAAACACAAATTATAGATGGCAACTTCTTTATTTACTGTAAAGGCATCGTTTCAGTATAGATCCTTATACCGCTGTCAAGTAAATAAAGAGGTTGTTATCCATAAATTCTGTCTCCTTTGTCGTTGTTACATTGTTGTTTAGCGGTTAAGGTTATGTTATTATCTACTATATAAACTAAACAAAAAAGGTACGGATCTTGTTTTGGGGAATTTAATGAAATTATGTGCTCATTCTGCACTACAAAACAATCCAGAAACATGAATGATCCCTGACTGTTTTTGTTCAGGATATAAGAGGATCGGGTGAGTTTTCGTCAGGAACAAGCTCTTTTCGGTTACTATTTCAAAACACACCATTCTACAGAGCAAACTCATTTTTAACCACTTCGATGAGACACATGCGCCCTTAACCCGTGAACACTTTCCATGAACAAGTCTGGAGCAAACACTCCAGTGACTCATATTGTGAACAAATGATCAACTCCACCGTGTAGATGACAGGCAATCCACCAAATGTCCGACCCTGGACAACCGATCCACTATATCAACTCTCACGACCAGCATATATTGCTGGGGATCATTTCTAAACTTGAATACCCACGGGGCTATTGCAGTGGTCATCTTACAGGACAGGACACGAACAACAATTAGTTTCAGTCAGTGTGTAACTGCTGGTGTACAGGTGATAAAGGTTGAACAGAATGTTTTTTTCGCCTAGTGCTATGTTAGTATCTGAATCAATCAGCTGATTTGAACAAAGAAAACTACCCGAAACCTAATCTAATGACCAGCACCCCACAGAAAATAATGGTTGAGGCTAATCCTTGGAACATAATCACTGACAGACAACTGTGTCCACAGGAATGTAGAACACAACTGCCACAGGTTTAGTACATTGAAAGCAACACTGAACATAAAAGGTCACGCCATCATTCCATTATATTATAATCAGATAAAAGTTGGTGGGGCAAGTACAATATGCACATCATACTCACATTTGTGTCTCACAACCAGTTTCAACCATTAAAGGCCACAACTATGACAAGATCTCGATCGCCTAATGCCAAAATAGCAGTTCTGGCCTCAAAGTCCTAGTCTTCTGTGTACTAAATGTTCACATTACTTGTACACGTGTCTGTTGTGTTGCCTTCCAGTGGGGCTGGCCGAAGATGTACTTGTGTTGGCGCGGTGTTGTTGCAGCCTACCACGTCGCCATGATCATCGTAACGTGGTTCTGTGACAGACACACGTGGACGAGGACCGAAGAGGACAGCATCAAGTGGTTCATATATTTCACAAACTGGATGTTCTTCCTTCTGACGTTTTCCACTCTGATTGACTTTGTTGCAGTGGGCTACTGTCACCTTGTGAGGAAAGACATCATTAGTGGTTCGTATGAGAACTGTATACTTCCGACAAAAGTAAGGGAACTGATGAAATGATAGTGAAGGTGCAATGACGATACATGTCTTCAAAAACTATTTCGGGCGTGTAGATCAGATCCTGGTGTGTCCATCATGTGTCATGCACCTTGATGGCATACTGTTGGTTAACTTGCGTATGGTTGCCCTCAGTATTGTCCTCTATTCCACCTGAAGAGCTACCCCAAGCTGGGCTAGGTTGGTGGGTGCTCGGTCTCTGGGGTACGCTCTCCCCCCAAGAACATCCCCCTGGTGCTCTATCGGGGATATGTCAGGGGGCTTACCGGGCAATTCCAATGTCCGTATGCCTCGTCGTCGGAGATAGTCGGTCACGACCATGGTATCATGTGGTCTGGCATTGCCATCTTGCAGTTCAACAATTCTGCCGATAATTCTAGCGAATTGAAGAACGACACGATGCCAGATTTCGGCAACATTTCGCTTGTCAGTCAAATGTCCATTCACAATGACCAAATTAATTGTTTGATAGGCATTAATTAGAAGTTGACGGATGACAAAGTAGACACAATTTATAGATAACAACTTTAATTACTGTAAAGGCGACGTTTCGATATAGGTCCTTTTCCGTTGTCAAGCAAGACTGAAAGAGGAACATTGTACAGAATATATATAGCAGGTGGAGGATTAACCATAGAGGATTAACAGTAACAACAATTGCATACATGAGTGGGAGAACATGAGTAGGTAAAGTGATGGTAACAGGAGGATTATACTATAACAACATGATGGACAGAGAACAGAAATAACCAAATTAGTTCGTTTGTTTAATGCTCCCACGCCCATGTCTGAATGCAACCCCACCCGCTTGACGGTACTTGTCCCACAGCCAAGAAATTACACTTTTTGATTTGACAACTTTTGGATATTGACGTCCCCCTCCCTATCGTACCCACAAGTTTGTCTGTTCATTGAGATACTGTCTCCGAGGCATTTCTGAGCGTGTGGCTAGCTCAGTTGCTTCTGTGTGCACGTGCATCACATGACGTCCATTCATGATCGGAAATTTCATTGTGATCAGATGTTGTGTTCAGATGAAATGCCTAGGTTTTGTAAATGTACACCTCAGCGATAGGTACATTGAAATCATTAGTTCCCTTAATTTTGTCGATAGTATATATTATAAATATATTATGTTTTATTATAGTATCGCATTGTCACACTTTGTGGTACATATTACTTCTAATAAGGTCCTGAGCTTATGTAAACCAAAACTGCCATGGTGTTTCAAGTCTTATCTGTGGACAGGTGGCATTATTGGAGGAGGGTATCAGAAAGTGTTCTGGCGGAACATGAAGTTCGTCGTTTCGATTCTGCAGGTGGATAATTAATGTTGATAAATATGACCATTGCTATTATTGGGCCCAGTCGTTTCAGGAGCCGTGAATCGCTATGCAGAGTTGCGTCCCCTGTACGTGCCAGAAACCAATGGTCGTGGGTTGGAATCCCAGTTTTCCCTAATCATGTGTTTAGGTTTGTCAGCACGATACCTGTACTCATCGGCTATACCAAAGTGAAATGTCTTGCAGTTTCGTGCGGGATATTTGATATAGTACACCAATACCATCTTGAGAGTGAAAAATGACAACACAACACAAAATCTTCTCTGAAGCCAGCCTAATTGTTCTTATGATGCAATGACAACAATGAGTGACGTCATTATCAATTAATCACGTCGACGTCATACCTGGTTTCATATAATTGAACAATCTGACATCATATCACGTGATCAACATTGAGACGCTAAAATGCACGCGGGCAACAGAAGGTGTTCCTACTCAACAGGTTCGGACATTATAGTAAATGTTTTCCACGATTTCAAAAACAGCTACGAATGCATAAAGAAACAAATGGTTTGTAAAATTAAAACAAAATGTAGTTACAGTTACGCTGACACCCTTTGTGACACCCCAAAATATCCTTTTCTCATCGTGTTAACAGAGGAAAACATGGACCTTTCCCCTAATGAAATCTCTTCTTTAACAGGTGAAGACAGACGTATGCCGCTGTTTCTCAAAGTGACGTGGGTTTCGCAGAATTTGAGCAACACTATCTGTCTGCATGCGACAATAATGTACTGGGGACTGGTCTATCCACGTAAATATATAACTTGATTATCCAACCGAAACACTTATCCATTGGTCGTAAAAGCTAAAATAGCGGTGACAGTTATATGACTTGATCCCCTGAGAATCAGTGATGACACCAGGTAAGCATGTCCTGGCCTGAGACGTAAGCAGACCTTTAGTGAGCAAATGACAATAGTGTTCCGGGGACGGGTATATTCCCGTCAGTATTGCTTTAGTGAGCAAATGACAATAGTGTTCCGGGGACGGGTATATTCCCGTCAGTATTGCTTTAGTGAGCAAATGACAATAGTGTTCCGGGGACGGGTATATTCCCGTCAGTATACCTTAAGTGAGCAAGTGACAATGTTGTACTGGGGACTGGTATATTCCCGTCAGTATTGCTTAAGTGAGCAAATGACAATAGTGTTCCGGGGACGGGTATATTCCCGTCAGTATTGCTTTAGTGAGCAAATGACAATGTTGTACTGGGGACTGGTATATTCACGTAAGTATTGCTCAAGTGAGCAAGGGACAATAGTGTACTGGGGACTGGTATATTCCCGTCAGTATACCTTAAGTGAGCAGGTGACAATGTTGTAATGGGGACTGGTATATTACCGTCAGTATACCTTAAGTGAGCAGGTGACAATGTTGTACTGGGGACTGGTATATTCCCGTCAGTATACCTTAAGTGAGCAAATGACAATAGTGTTCCGGGGACTGGTATATTCCCGTCAGTATTGTTCATAATGAGCAAGTGACAATAGTGTTCCGGGGACTGGTATATTCCCGTCAGTATTGTTCATAATGAGCAAGTGACAATAGTGTTCCGGGGACTGGTATATTCCCGTCAGTATTGTTCATAATGAGCAAGTGACAATAGTGTTCCGGGGACTGGTATATTCCCGTCAGTATACCTTAAGTGAGCAAATGACAATAGTGTTCCGGGGACTGGTATATTCCCGTCAGTATTGTTCATAATGAGCAAGTGACAATAGTGTTCCGGGGACTGGTATATTCCCGTCAGTATTGTTCATAATGAGCAAGTGACAATAGTGTTCCGGGGACTGGTATATTCCCGTCAGTATTGTTCATAATGAGCAAGTGACAATAGTGTTCCGGGGACTGGTATATTCCCGTCAGTATACCTTAAGTGAGCAAATGACAATAGTGTTCCGGGGACTGGTATATTCCCGTCAGTATTGTTCATAATGAGCAAGTGACAATAGTGTTCCGGGGACTGGTATATTCCCGTCAGTATTGTTCATAATGAGCAAGTGACAATAGTGTTCCGGGGACTGGTATATTCCCGTCAGTATTGTTCATAATGAGCAAGTGACAATAGTGTTCCGGGGACTGGTATATTCCCGTCAGTATTGTTCATAATGAGCAAGTGACAATAGTGTTCCGGGGACTGGTATATTCCCGTCAGTATACCTTAAGTGACAATATTGTACTGGGGACTAATGTATTCCCGTCAGTATTGTTCATAATGAGCAAGTGACAATAGTGTTCCGGGGACTGGTATATTCCCGTCAGTATTGTTCATAATGAGCAAGTGACAATAGTGTTCCGGGGACTGGTATATTCCCGTCAGTATTGTTCATAATGAGCAAGTGACAATAGTGTTCCGGGGACTGGTATATTCCCGTCAGTATTGTTCATAATGAGCAAGTGACAATAGTGTTCCGGGGACTGGTATATTCCCGTCAGTATACCTTAAGTGACAATATTGTACTGGGGACTAATGTATTCACGTCAGTACACCTTAAGTGACTAATTGACAATATTGTACCGGGAACTGATATATTCACGTAAGTACCCTGTGATGTCATTCATCAACCACCATGTATGTAAGGCCTGTGATGTCATTCAGCAACCACTATGTGTGTATGCTCTGTGATGTCATTCAGCAACCACTATGTGTGTATGCCCTGTGATGTCATTCAGCAACCACCATGTGTGTATGCCCTGTGATGTCATTCAGCAACCACTTTGTGTGTATGCCCTGTGATGTCATTCAGCAACCACTATGTGTGTATGCCCTATGATGTCATTCAGCAACCACCATGTGTATATGCCCTGTGATGTCATTCAGCAACCACTATGTGTATATGCCCTGTGATGTCATTCAGCAACCACTATGTGTGTATGCCCTGTGATGTCATTCAGCAACCACCATGTGTGTATGCCCTGTGATGTCATTCAGCAACCACTATGTGTGTATGCCCTGTGATGTCATTCAGCAACCACCATGTGTGTAAGGCCTGTGATGTCATTCAGCAACCACTATGTGTGTATGCCCTGTGATGTCATTCAGCAACCACCAAGTGTGTATGCCCTATGATGTCATTCAGCAACCACTGTGTGTGTATGCCCTGTGATGTCATTCAGCAACCACTATGTGTGTATGCCCTGTGATGTCATTCAGCAACCACTTTGTGTGTATGCTCTGTGATGTCATTCAGCAACCACTATGTGTGATGCCCTGTGATGTCATTCAGGTGGTCCAGGTAATATGCTAAGAATTCATAATGCAGAAGGTGGGAAGCTTTTTGGACGAGCGAACGCCTTATCCACTCAACACCGTCCCGTGACCCCACTTAGAATCGCTTGTGAATAGCAGTTAATCATTTATATTTTGAAAGTAGTTCTTGGTCGCCAGTTTCACAGTCACCATTCCAATGCATTTGTCAATGCCTCTGATTAATGTTTTGTCATTGTAGATCAATTTGGACTCATCATAAATAATTTAATTTTCAAGAAAAGATGTACATGTGAATGCGTGCATATTGTTTTAGCGTGCGTTAGGAATATACATTATGACTATATACACATCATATTAAATAATAATTAAATTTTCGTTGTGTTCATTGAAAATCCTGCATTCTCATCAGCTGAATTGGTCACGTGTTATTGCATTCATTTCCCAATGAATGTTAGAAAGTAAGCCCCATCCACCGAGGCGCACTACTTTTATTGCTACGGAATGTCGGGGAATCTCAATATTACAGTCGAGGTAATTCCCTTTCTGCTCACGTGTATCGTCATGCACAGGACATTTAGCGACTTTCATGCATATTCATTGTCCAAACTACCATTTCAGACCGAAGACCAACAAGAAATTAAACAGCAAACGTGCAGGCCCGCTCTTATTGGTATAAACTATTATGGATAAAACATGTTTTCGTTGTCGAATTTAATTATAAGCATAAAATAAAATGATTGTCATTTTTTTTGTCAAGCCGGGGGTGCTATCTCGATGGTTAACTGCATAACTCACGTCGGCAACACCACGTACGTCATCATCAACCTCTGTATCGCTGCGTCTCCTGTGAGATTCTTCCATTTCTTCCAACCCCTCATCGTGGCGGCTACATACTACATCTTCTCCGCGGTGTACCAGGCTGCAGGCGGGACCAATGGCCTGGGCGCCAGTGCTATATACCCTGGACTTGACTGGTCAGCTGATCCGGGCGGGGCAGCATTATTCTCTTTCTATTCTTGCCTTTTAGTGCCATTCCTGCAGTTCTTGATCTTTGTGATTGCCATGCTCAAGGGATCTTTGTTTGACATTTGCCTTGGGAGGCGTTCTAGTGAAGATGTGGATGTAGGGGGAGGAATGGGATGGCTGAGTAAAGGGTGTTTAGACCATCACAGGTTCTATCGTTGTGGATGGCATAAAGAACATTGCTGAGCTAATATATTGGAAAGTTAACAACATTGTATGAATTCTGCTTTTACAGTTGCTTCTACACGCCACGGAAAGACGGGACTTCACTCTCTAAATATAAATGTTGCAAATTTGTGCCGGAAAAAAGGGAAATGATTGATTTTCAAAGAGAAGATGTCAAAGACACCATCAACAGTTGTGTATTTAGCGAACTTGCTTTCAATTTTTAAAAGTTTTACATCAAATTATATCTTAAAAAAGAAAACCACGTAGAAGTATTCTTTGAGTGCTGACTGAGCGCCTGTACAGTTTAAATCAACTTAGAGGTATAGTTGCTTTTGCTCCTCACTGTAGCTACATCTTTAGATTCTGATTGAAAAGATACAATCAACTATAAAGAATTTTAATTATGTATTACGCTTTCTGTATGGAATATATATGTTAATAAACATGAAACATACAAAATACATTCGTTGTCATTGTACTTCATATCCCTTTCCTTGATGTTATAAGGTTAAAATGCATCTCAAATACAGTAAACTACGTTTATAACGAACACGCTTATAACGAACTGACCGATATAACGTACTTATTTTAAGTCCCGGCCATTTGTTGAATATATTATGCATATATGCATATAACGAACTACGGTTATTACGAACTAATATTAGTGGTCCCTTTGAGTTCGTTATAACCGTAGTTTACTGTACATTAGAAAATTGTAACAAATTAATCCTTTGATAGCTTGTGGTTGCATTGTACTTATATAATTAAAGTTGGTCCCAGGAAATAAATCTGGGTTTAGAAAGGAATCGATAGAGAAAAGACATTTCCAAGTTATCATCGGATTGTTTCCACGTTATCGTCTATTTGTTAATTAATCAGCAGAGAAGAAGAACACTGAGAATCCAGGTCGACTCAGAGTGATGCTCCGCTATTTTTCCGATTAGGACACACATGAGTTCATGGCCAGATCTCACTTTAAACGAATGAGATCGAGGTATTATCACATATGACCAAGAAAGGTGAAATCTCGATCACCTTAAACAGACACGTTTAGCACTAGCTGAGTATAGCGGCGTCTTCCAGCGACTGAAGCAAATCGATACCACTCCGTGTTCACACTCTGTGACGGGTCCAGCCTGTCTTGTTTAGAAGTTGTATTTGGAGGATGAACTGAAGCGTTAATAAATTGTTGTGAGTGAAAACCTTGCGTTGTGTTGATCAATGAGAGCAAGGCTCGACACATGGATGCAGATGGAGATAGTTCGGAGTCTGGGCCAATCACTCTTTGACTTAAATGACCTTTGGCTGAGCAGGCGAGTGAAGAGTCATGGCTGACATTGACCATGACGGGGCGGAACGGCAATACGCCAGGTATCTGTAGTAGAGGGGCGGAACGGCAATACGCCAGGTATCTGTAGTAGAGGGGCGGAACGGCAATACGCCAGGTATCTGTAGTAGAGGGGCGGAACGGCAATACGACAGGTATCTGTAGCAGGCTCCAGTTAAGCCCGTAACGCAGTTACGACATTACCAACGCATCAAATTTGTTTCGAGTTTTGTGAGTGAATTGGGTTTTACGTGTAGAAGTTTAATGTGTGGATATAAGCAACCAAAAGCACTTCCATAAGTAATAAAAAAAAACGAATAGTCGATGTTTCGATTTCGACTATGTCGCGAGCATGTGTTCATGAATCACTATTAAAAATTGGTGTTCGCGAAAAACACATCCTCGACCACCATCGGTGGTATCCGTCAGAAACACATGCAAAGGCAAGTCAATTGTTCGCGTGAAAAATACTTGGGGACATATCATCAGACATCAGTTTTGCCAGTGATGCATCAAATTTTGAAATGGAATTTCGTTGATGCAGGTCTTACACACTTACCACGCGAAAACTCCACGAGCTCAGGATTCTGTTAAACGGTTATAGGATGTAAATGCGCCCAAGGGAGGCAACAGTGTTACATCAGACGCCTGTGCGACACATATTCTTTTGAATGTTTGTTTACTCGTGGTTACAACTTGTTTCGAGTCGATTCCGTATTTTAACCTGGAATCGGTACGTACCAAATTGTGAAATCAGTAAACAACTACACATGCCACATGATCAATGCATAGTTAACAAATTATATTGAAACAGGCAGAAGGGAATAGAGTCCCTCACAATATGTGTCAGCAGCACACCCATTCCGTTCTTGAGACAAGGAAACCATATTGGAAGAAAGCAGAATAGTGAGTGTTTTCCGATAGGACCACTGCTCAAGTTTGAGATTTTATGAGCGCCTCGTTTTGCTGTCACTTACAATCATAAGAAATATACTTGCAATAATATGTACTGCCAAATTAACAAAGTGTCCGATAAATGAGGCTCGTGTGGTTTTGATCCGTGACCTGGCTGAATACCATAATGCAGCAATGAAGCAGATAATGAATGATGCTTGACGCTGTTCCAATGTTCCAGCTGTTTTTGGTTGATATGTGTTTGTCATATAAACTGAGGGGCAAACGAAACGCCACCAAATAAATAATGGTCGTCAGTTTTAAACACATTTGTCAAACAGCACGAAAACAGTTGGGAACACATAGCTGGAATGCAACTTACCTATTCCCTGTGAACATGTGCACGTGCTTCACGTGATTTAGGAGAAAAGTAAATTTAATCACTAAAAATGCAGAATGTGCACAAAGTTACCAGTATGAAATTCTGGTATAAAACATGAGCAGGATTGTACTCTCTCGTCACATGAAACCGTTTAAAACAACGAATATGCCTCGACTAACCGCAGCGCAGAGGGAGTTAAGAGCATGTTGCAAATGGGAGCGCCGCAAGAGAACGTTGCCAGGATCATGGGCTGCTTCAAGTGCGCCATCACCAGACTTATCACACGTCACAGGCAAACTTGCAGTACTGCAGACAGGCCGAGGAGTGGAAGACCCAAGGTCACGACCCCCCAGGAAGACCGGTGTTTACGGATGCTTCACCTAACGTCCAGATTCCTAACTGTGACGTCATCATCCACAAACAGCCTTGGACATCCAATCAGCAGAAGGACCGTTGCTAGACGACTCCGCCTGTATGGTCTCCGTGCCTATCGACCTTTCAAGGGCATGACGTTAACGTTTCTACACCGACGTCACAGACTGAGATGGGCCAGGACTGTACAGCAGTGGCAGCAGAGAAATTGGCGAAGAGTGCTCTTCAGCGACGAGAGTAGGCGCCAACTCTTCAAGTCTGATGGGCGGATTCGAATCTACCGACGACGTGGTAAACGGCGGCACGTTGTTGCGTCCAAGAAGTGATGCCTTATGGAGGTGGTAGTGTCATGGTCTGGGGTGGCATCTGCGGGGACCAGAAGACAGATCTGGTCATCATCGACGGCAATCTCACAGCACGTCGTTACATTGATCAGGTTTGGCGGACTGTGGTACTGCCTTTCCTGCAACGACCCCCTAGGGCGCTGTTTCAGCAGGGCAACGCCAGCCCTCACACAGCTCGAGTCACTAGCGCCCACAGTTGGATAGGAGCCCGCGTTCGACAGCTTGACTGTTGAGAGTCTCCAGGGATTCGGTCATGCTGAAACACACGTGACGTTGTCCGAAAATGCCATCTGTTCACCCCGCAGTGAATGGGTACCCGGTAGGATGAGACGTTACTGTGACTGTTAACCTTCTAGCGCCCCACCATGTGAAGCATTTTTTTTTTCAGATGCACCATTTTATTTACATTTATTTTCGGAAGAAATTCCATGGAATATGTATTTTTCATCAACTGGGAAGATGTCAACAGGTGTTCTGTATATGTACATATAGCTCACCTTTGGTGTACATGAATCACACGTGTGTGGTGTCCGTCTGTACATGCAGGACACATCATCCATGTGAATCTGGCAATGGTTCGACAATAAATGTTAAAAAATGATGCATTTGCAGACGTGTTAAGGTGGAGACCCGCTTACTGCATGGAGTGTATGGTGACCCGTGTTGTGTATGGAGACGTTTACTGTATGGAGACCCGTGTAGTGTATGGAGACGCTTACTGTATGGAGACCCGTGTAGTGTATGGAGACCCGTGTAGTGTATGGTGACCCGTTTAGTGTATGGAGACCCGCGTAGTGTATGGTGACCCGTGTAGTGTATGGAGACCCGTTATGTATATGGAGACCCCTGTAGTGTATGGTGTCCAGTGTAGTGTATGGTGACCCGTGTACTGTATGGAGACCCGTGTAGTGTATGGAGACCCGTTTAGTGTATGGAGACCCGTGTAGTGTATGGTGACCAGTGTAGTGTATGGAGACCTGTGTAGTGTATGGAGACGCGTTTAGTGTATGGTGACCCGTGTAGTGTACGGAGACCCGTGTAGTGTATGGAGACGCGTTTAGTGTATCATGACCAGTGTAGTGTATGGTGATCCGTGTAGTGTATGGAGACCCGTTTAGTGTATGGATACCCGTTTAGTGTGTGGTGTCCTGTGTAGTGTATGGAGACCCGTGTAGTGTATGGTGACCCGTGTAGTGTATGGTGAACGATGCCCGTTTCGTGTATGGAGACGCTTACTGTATGGAGACCCGTGTAGTGTCTGGAGACGTTTACTGTATGGAGACCCGTGTAGTGTATGGTGACCCGTGTAGTGTATGGTGAACGATGCCCGTTTCGTGTATGGAGACGCTTACTGTATGGAGACCCGTGTAGTGTATGGAGACCCGTGTAGTGTATGGTGACCCGTTTACTGTATTGAGACCTGTGTAGTGTATGGTGACCCGTGTTGTGTTTGGAGACGTTTACTGTATGGAGACCCGTGTAGTGTCTGGAGACGTTTACTGTATTGTGGCCCGTATAGTGTATGGAGACCCGTGTAGTGTCTGGAGACGTTTACTGTATTGTGGCCCGTATAGTGTATGGAGACCCGTGTACTGTTTGGAGATCAGTGTAGTGTAATGAGACTTTTCGAATGCGCCTTACTCAAACCGTGCCTTGATGACTCATAACAAGTAACGGACCCGCCATGTCTGGGCTAGGGCTAAGGTTAATTGTTTTGGTCAGAGCTGGGGTTAATTGTTTGATTCGGGGTTAGGGTTAATAGATTGCGTAAGGACCATGGCTATTTGGAAGAGTCAAGGCTGGGGGTAATTGGTTGCGTCTGGGCTTGGGTGTGTAGCAGAGTGACGTGTTTTCCTATGCCCAACAGTTACGCTACATTACAACAGCACACCTAATAATGGGACACGCTGTGCGTTGCACGCCCGAGACTTATTCCCGCAATTGCGTAAACATACACACATTTGATGTTCCGTACTTAGATCTTACATACAATGAAACGTACATTATTTGAACGAATATGTCGGTATTCATGACTAGAATAATCTAATGGCCT